GATTTCAAATCTCTGTTTGCATATTTAAGAGTTTAAAAAAATTCTGATTCTTATAAATAATTTAATGGTGTACATTTTCGCAAATTGTTGAGGATGACCAAATTCTATTTTGCTCATCTCAAAAAGGTATGCGTTGGAAATTCCAGGCTTAGTTGACAAACTATCAAATAGAGATATAAATATTATTTTCTAATTTGAAAATATAAAAGAGAAATTTTTCGCTGGGAGATTTTAAATTGCCAAACACCTTTTCTTCAGAGTCGTATGCTTTAAAATGCGTTAACAAGTAAGAATTGTTAAGTAAATTGCTTTCTTCTGAGAAATTTACGCAAATTTCGCAAGAGTGGATATGTAATGATTTTTTGATTAAATAGCCACATACATAGTTAAATGCATTTTGAGTGGTCACATTTAGCTCCCTGTAGTCACATTCAGAAATCGTTATTGTCCCAACTGATTTTTTTGAAATATATTTATTTTTCATTAAGCGGAGAACTTGTTTTCCTAAGGGAAAAACGAATCCCGGGATTCCTTTCGTGTGTGCACCGCTGCCGCTAGTGCCCACGAGCCGCCACTGTAAGTATGTGGATCAGACGCGCCGTGTGAGGTTTTTAAATGCACTCCTGTAGCAATCTGTCAAAGTCATGTGGAAAAATCAAAGTATGTGTGTGGAATTCACATCAGTTAAGCCATTGAGATTTCTGATGCCTTGGTAGGATTTCCCACTCGACCATTCACTGTTGGGTTCTAATTAACAGTGCTGTTCCTGAAGTGGCGCTGGGAAACAGTAACAAAGCCTACACAGAACACACATGATTGAGAATTTAAAACACAAACTGAGACTGGCATATTAGGTTTATACACCTAGGCCATAAATCGAAAAAAAAAAGCCTTTGAGATAGAATAAAGAAGATATGCTATGACGATGCTGAAGTGTCCGCAACTTTGCATTACATTTTTATGTCATATGTCAAACTTGAGATAGAGTGAAGATAGTCAGTTTTGGTGAAAATAATTGCCATTTTTGTTAAATAGCTTCATTTAAATGATATAAATCACTTACATTCCGCCAGTCTTCAAATATAAAGTTACTGACTTCAAAGAAATCAAAGTACCACTCAAGTCGCCATTTTCATAACACTTTTCCGTCACTCGAAGTGCCGTACATCTGTCATATTGCAAAATATTGTTTATGTCGTCTCTACTTTATTCTATATCGATGAGTCAAGCGGAAATCGCCATATGATTGCAGAAATAATGTACATTTTTGCAAATAGTAGTTCACTCCTCGACATTATAATTTTTACGTGTATATTATCTATTTTATGCACAGATGGAATAAATCTATCATTCTACTAGACTTATATAATTTTTTTCTACACCCACATAGATATTATTTAGTCTACTTACACACTACGGTACGAGAACTGATATAATTTCATAAACATTTTAATAAGGACACTCTAGGATATGAAATCCACCAATCACAGTTTCTATTTGGTGACCAGGCTACTATTATTTTTAGAATTTTAAATAAGTGACAATTCTGTCAAATTAATTGTGAGTATATATTTTAGTTATAGAAATTAAATTTCATTAAAAATGAGGGATTCTTGTGAAGAATCGATAAATAATAGCATTCCACAAGATATTTTTTGTCGTATATTTTCACATAAATCGTAAATTTTAATAAAACTATCTAAGACAAATGTAATTATCAGTTATAAAAAAAAATGTTTCGGTAGCGCGGAAGATAGCTTACTGGGTTCCCATGCGAAAGGCACGGGGTTCAAATCCATGATGAAATCTAATAATTATAATATATTTTTTATTTTATAAATTGGTAGAAGTTATAAATAATTTACAGCGTTGTGCTCAAACTTCGTCTTCATGCGATATTGATATCATATCCACTCTTGTTGTTAAATTTACTATTAACTTTGTAATATCTTGTTAACTGCTCATGAAAAAATGGGTTAATGTATTACATGATGGTATATTTAAATAATATATAATTCAAATCTCATCATGAAATAGCGACAGGAAGCTCTTGATAAGCTTCCTTTTTTGTTTAAAAAAATTATAATATTTAGTAATAAATTGATTTCTGAACTATCTATAATGTTTAACTGGAAAGTTGTTCCTAAGAATCTTTAAATGAAGAAATAATTTTTATTAGAATTTAACTTAAACATTTGTTTTTAATTTGTTTCCAAATCTTTGCCAGTTGCATTTATCTTTATAAAATATTACTTTATAATGCAGTAACATTACACCTGAAATGTTGCCTTTTTTTCTGTCTAATGGCCATATAAATTCTTCAATTTGGAGCAGACATTTTTGTAAAAAAAATACTTTAAAAACGAGCGAAGTTTAATTTTAATTTAACCACCGCTTATCGTGGTCAACAAAAGACAATGAATTGTATTGTTTTTTTTTTTTGTTGTGTGTAGATGTGTCTACTGGGCGAAGACTATGATAATGGCCTTGTAAAGCATAAAGCCCTCCTGATGTACTCGCATTGGCGTAGCTAGGGTTGGGCAGGGTCACCCCCAGAATATACTATGTTCCCCCAGAAAAGAGCAATCTAATAGGTAGATTTCGGACGTGTTGACTAGATGCCCCTCTCAAATTTTTATTACATCGGGAAATACTTAACTTTTGGTCCGAATTTTCCTCTATTAGGAAGAATGAAACTTTAATATCACATTTCAATATAAGATGGAAAACAAAGTCCAGAAATAAAATCAAAAACTTTGTCAAGCTAAAACTAAACTATGTCAAAATTGATATAATAATATTGATGATAATTTTTAACTCAACAACGCCTCTTATTGTCAGATTGGGTTAAAAAAAGTTATACCTGTTAATTAATAATTAATATATTATTACGCAGGTTTTTGGTATCACAATTTATTTTAATTCAACTTTTACAATAACTATAATTCAACTTTAACAATAACTATCCAACTGATAACATTCACGTATAACGTCTATCATAAAACTCCCCCTCTGACGTCAGGTCGTCGACTTATATAGCTTGCCTGAACCTTCTCGAACAATCCGGATTTTTCTTTGACAAGGAATGAAATTTCGAGACATTTCTGGAATATTTAATCTTCTTCATTTACTCGTACGTTTACTTATGACGACCGCAGCACGCTGCAGGGTGCTGCGTAACATTGCTCCCTCCTCTCTAGTTGTTCGCTCCGAATAACTTAATTACTGGGACCTAGTTGGAACTAATGGGGAGGATCTGGACCATGGTATGAAGCTATCTTTCGAATGTGAACTACGTTGAATTTACTTCCCGCTGACAGTTGAATGCGGCAGATCAGGTCGTTGATTTTCCTTAAGGACGGAGTAGGGGCCTTCCCAGTTCCGTTGCGATTTCTGACGAAGTCCTCCTCGCTGCTTGGGATTGCACAGCCATACCTTGTCGCCCCTCTCAAAATGTGTATCTGTGGCAGGCCTGTCGATTCTAGCTTCTGCTTTATCGGTGTGGGCTTTCAGTCGTTCCCGAGCGAATCCATAGACCTTTGTCCTGCCATTGCATACATCACATTTTTTACACCAATCCGCTACATCCCGTCGGCAATTGACCCAATACAATATTTCCTGAACTCGTGCCAGTGTCCTTTTAGTATCAAAGTGTCCTCCTGAACGGCTGCTATGAAGCTCCTCCAATACATTTCTCATCTGTGACCGCCAAGTGATACTGCCGATCACTTGGCGGACTACATGTACTCCATCGGGGCTCACTCACTTCCGGTGCAATAGGCCATCGTGAAGATACAGGGAATCCCACTGGGTCCAGTAGCCTTTTATAGTTCTACTGTATTTGGCTATATCTTGCCAAGTAGGTGTGACTTTATTTTTGAGCCATTCTCGAACAACCTTTAAGTCATTGTCTTTCTTCTGTCCCTGTCTCAGACCTTCAAGGGTGATTTCTTCTTCGTCGCCCTCTGGCTTGATAGTGGTTGCCCGAAGAGTAACTTTATCAACCGGTTCTTCTCGTTCTTCAAACCGTTTACCATATCAGCAATGTTCCTCTAAATGGGGTTGCCCGAAGAGAATGTCTGCGTTGCTATGGAGACCTCTTCGATGCTCTACTTTTTGGTTATTGTTAGAAAGCCGGCTCGGTGTGGGCGATTGGCTTCTTCGGGACGCATAGCTGCTGTAATTAATTCTTGTTGGGCTTAGTGATGGGCTTGGAAAGATTGATCTATATGATTTTCCGGTCTCATTCGCTGATTCTCGATTCATAGAATGAGCCATGCTTCTACAGGTTCTTTGATGTTGTAGACGCAGGACTTGCTGCATTTCCGCATCTTGTAATCCATCAATTAATGTCTCTATTCCGATTTGTTCTTGGAAATCTTTGGGCGCCTGTGGATAGGCCAGATGAATCAATCTTCTTACGTCGGCCCCGAATTCCTGTAGACTCTCATTATGTTTCTGACTACGAATTTTTAGCTGGCTTTGAAATAACCGTTTCGTCTACCGTAGATATTAGGGACAGTAATTTTTTCACTTTTTCCATAAAGATTAAGTAAAACCATAATATTTTTACACTTTTTAATCTTCTATAAGTGTGCACTAACCTAATTAAAGCAATAAATATTATTAAAACACATTTGTAAGTTAAAAAATTAAGAATATGCATTTATTCACGACATTCTCACGTAGCCATATACGTCAGGTCGTCGACTTATATAGCTTGCCTCAACCTTCTAGAACCTTCTCGAACAATCCGGAGTTTTCTTTGATAAGGAATTACATTTCGAGACATTTCTGGAATATTCAATATTCTTCATTTACTCGTACCTTTACTTATGACGACCGCAGCACGCTGCAGGGTGCTGCGTAACAATACCTATTACGTTAGATTATTAAATAATATAAATTGTTCTTGTTAAATTTGTGATTATAAATGTTCATGAGTATCCTTTTATACATTTAATCTTTGATATTTCATGCAGTAATCTTACTTCTTTCAGAGTGACAGCCACGGTGGCGTCTGGCCCAGAGTGTGGCCCGGTGGCCGCCGACAAGGGGGCCGATTGTTGGTGGTCCCCCCTGGCGGCCATGGGTTGCTTCGGGAATAGGGATGCTGCTCAGGCGTCAGAAGACATACGATCCCAGAAACGGATCAGCGACCAAATTAACAGGCAGCTAGCCAAAGAAAAGCAGGTTTACCGCGCAACGCATAGGCTGTTGCTTTTGGGTGCGGGAGAATCTGGAAAATCTACAATAGTAAAGCAGATGCGTATCCTGCATGTAGATGGTTTCAGTGAAAAAGAGAAGAAACAAAAGATTGAAGACATTAAAAAGAATATCAGAGATGCCATAATAGTGAGTATATTTTTATTTAGTTGCCTGTTATTTAGAATAGAGAATACTTGAACCTCTTATTGAAAAATAAATTAAAATCTCACCTTCTTTAGCTAGGTTTATTGAAAGTTATAAGTATAAAAAATGTATCTATAACATTGAAGACAAGCAACTTCATTGCAAGTAATTTTTTTTTCTGAAGTTTTAGACACGTACTGTTAAAGGTCAAAATTGAAACTATTTTTTTTTTTTTTTAATAAGCTGAAAAAAGCATCTCACACACTCTGTATTTAGACTTATAGTATCTTTAAATTTACCCACATATAAAACTTTAAAGATAGAAACATTATAATAAATGTACAATATAATGTATAACAATATTAAAATGCTTGTTTGTTCCTATATTGACTTATTTTACGTACAGACATTTTGAATATGAGTTTGATATTCCAAGATGTTTGGCAAATTACTACAGCTTTCTTTTTATTTTCACCTCTTTAAAAAATACCATACTCTATAAATAATCGGTACTTAACATTCCATTACCATTTAATATTATAGTTTTAAAGAACATTACATTTTTGCACTATAATTAAAGTTGGCATGCAGAAATTTAACAAATTATTTATCTATATTTTATATTTCCTTGTTCTAACACATCATATCAGTTGACAGAGATTGTGTCATTTTTTTTACAATGCCTAAAATTAAGAAATGGTATACATGTAATTATGAAAAAAATACTACGATTTTAAGTAGCGAGAAAGAAGATTTTGCGAGATCTCAAAGAAGACATTTTAAATTGAAACGTAATATAATTGACATTATAGATGAACCGGAAAAAGTAGAGAAGCCCTCTGGAAAGAGAAAAGAACAAAGACATTATTGCAATGTTGGATTATCTCAGCTGAATGAACATTTTTAAATAGCAAAACCATATTACATATTATATATAACTATATATTTCTGGGTATCATTATATTACATGTTTAATAAAAGCATTCAGTAGTGTAATAATAGCGTTTCTAGATCAGTGCTTCTTTAGTAATTTTCATCCTATTCTATTCCTGGGCGGGCCACTGTTGAATTGTAAAAACTAGAAAATTTGCTTTTCCTGGCTTTATTCGCCATTTTTGACCTGTTTTACAAGAAGAAACATATGGAAACTAATACAAAAAAGAATTAGTTACTCAACTGGTATTCCAAGGGTAAACTTTCTTAGTGTTACTTATTCATAATTCTGTTTAATTCCTCTTCAGAAATATTTACAAATTGGTTAGATATCCAATAGTATTATGGACAAGTAAATTTATAAATTAAAGAGCTAAATTCCTCTTTGATATAATAAAATTTATGAAGAAATATATAAATATAAATAAACAATAAAAGCATATTCAGAAATAAGACAATATAACTTTTGATAATATATATTCAAATCTCACATTTGATTTGATTAAGGTACTAGTTACTGCTGGAAACTAAGGAAATGAGATTTTTAATTAGCAAATCTTGAAGCTCTAGAATTAAAAATATTGTACATTGTACCTGTAATTTGTTCTTTGCATTGGAAAAGAATACTTGCAGTTGTTCAGGTTACTTTTGGAATGCCATGAAAAGTTTTTGCATTTTAAAGCAATGTATTTGAGGAACTCGTTTTGAACATATTCAAAGACACAAATAAAAAACTATAAAATGCTTTTTCTGTATGAGAACAAATTAACTTCAAGTCATTTTTAAGGTACTTTTCACGTTTTTTGGCGAGTGCGTCATTACTATCCTATGAAATAAATATACAGCTTGATATATATCATCACTGGCCGATCTAAATGTACATATTGACCTATCGTATTTCTCGCTATTTTCAGACTTTCTTGTTAGTATTGAAATCTAGCTACTAAAATTATTAAATTAAATCTTTATTGTGTCAGTAACCATAACTGCCGAGACACGTTAATTGGTAAAAAAAATCATACAGATCACACAATCTTACTTTTTGCGATAAATTTCAGATTTAAAAACGTATTTTTAAAATTCAAATTCGATGCTACTGACAAAATTCATAAACTGATACACTGACATGCGCAACGGGAGACATCACCCACCTTCATACTGGGAAATATTTCATGGAATAGTGATATAACAGATAGTACCATATACGCATGTTTTTACAACAATACTGAATGCTTGACATAATCAAACGCCTTAGTCAAATCATAGAATATATCCACTACAGTTTCGATAAAATTTATTTTAGAATGAGCAAGTTCAAGCAAAGAAATATCGTAACAAGCAACACGTAGGCGAGTAAGGCGATCCAGTTCTGATAATTGATATAGGCAACCAATAATGCATATTTTTGTAATTTTTGATGGATTTTCTCTAAATACTCTCTAATACTCATGTGTTGTATTGCCTCTAAACTATAAAGACTATACTCTAAACATCGCACAGTTGTCATTTTTTATTAGGTCCGCAGAATTTTGTAGCATTCCACTAGTGGGAAGTTCAGTGGATAATACATAAAGGATAATACATAAAATGTAGGTTTGGCAGTTTAATAACAAAGTATGAGCATAAAAGTTAAGAAGTGGAATACTGTTGCAAGTAGATACACGTGAAATAGGCTGAAAAATCCCCTAGCACCTGCTCGATGTAGAAAAGTAGGTGAAACCTTTCCAGTGGGGTTTAGCTAATAAATATGGATGTGTAAACAATATAGTCCAAAATATCAAAACGTTTACTTTGTAGTAAGAGCATTTTAACCAAATTTGAAAAAAAATTACAAACAGCTAATGTATGGAGCAATTTAATTTCGAAATTCTTTTCTTAACTAAAAGACCATGAAAGTTCAAGATCAAATTTGCTTGCCTCTCTTGGCAAACCCAATTTTCTAAAAAAATCCTCAAAGGAAATAAGTACGGGATCTAAATTTGAAAACTCCCTTCCTTGGTATTAAGTATTAATTGCTAATAGGTTGGTACACATTAAAACTTTAAAATGGACCAACCAAGCCTAAATCCTTTCATGTTGACAGTTTGCTTCCTAATATTGATTGGTTCTGGTCTTTTATTAGGATTTTTTTTTGTATGATACGCGAGTACTTTTAAATTTATAATGCGTTGGTCCCAAGGTTTTTAATAAAAACAACTTTTTTTGTGAAAAGATGTTAAAATTCATGATCATTTAGTGGATATAATTAATTAAACCACTTATCCACAAGTAAAAAATTATAAAAAATAACAAAAACACTAAATTGATACTACATCTTACGATATTAGAATCATGTGCAAAAGTTAGTAACTTTTAGTGGGATAATGGAGGAAATATTTCAAGGAATACCATCAAATGCAAATTTTGGAGAATGCATGATTGTATTTTTGAAGTGTTGATTACCATGTTCTTGGGTCTTCAGTTGGCAAGAGGTTCAAGATATCTTCAATAAAAATATGATGTGTCCAACAAATGACTTTCCTATCTAGTTATTATAGGCTTTTCCCGGTTATTTTGTACAACCTATTGCAGCACCTCTATAAATGTTTAGTAGATAAACTAAATACATATATACATTTTCCACATACTTCTACCTAGAAATATTTTTCTATAGATATTCATTGAAAACGAAAATACTGAACAATTTAAATTTAGCACTTTTCCTACAATTTTTCCATTACGGTCCATTTTAGTATAAACAAAAATTATAGAGATCGATATCGCAAACAACTTTTAGTTCAACAATTTTCATAAAAATCAGAATTTTGCACATTTTGTCAAATTTCTCGAATACGGACCATTTCACGAAATTTTGACATAAAGCAAAAATTATAGATAATAATATTAGAAATAACTTTTATTTGAACAATTTTCTTCTCCAAACATAAATAACAGATATATTCCATAAAATATAAAAACGGCCTCCCATAAAGTACCCCCCCAGATGTTCCGACTTTGTCCAAAATCTAATCATTTCACGTCAGGCCGAAATAAAACTTAAGTTTAAAATTTAATGTTTTTTTCTTTATCCGTTCTTGAGTTTTCTTCAAAATTCGAAATTTACACATTTTTTCAAATATCTCGAATACTGTCCATTTGAGAGAAATTATGTATAGAGAATTATATTACAAACAACTTTTATTTGAACAATTTTTATAAAAAAATATTTTTTTTACATTTTATCAAATTTCTCGAATACGGACCATTTTAGGAAAATTTTGTATAGAACAAAAATTATAGATAATAATATTAGGAGTAACTTTTATTTAAAGAATTTTCTTCTCCAAATGTAAATAACAGATATATTTCATAAAATATAAAAATGACCTCCTATAAAGTACTCCCCCAGATGTTCCGACTCTGCCCAAAATCTAATCAGTTCATTGGACGCTGGAACAAAGCTTAAGTTTAAAATTTGGTGTTTTTCTGTTTATCGGTTCATGAGTTATGCGACATACAGACACACACACACACACACACACACACACACACACACACACACACACACACACACTGACACACACACACTGACACACACACACACTGACACACACACACACACTGACACACACACAGACACACACACACTGACAAACAGACACACACACACACTGACAAACAGACACACACACACACACACACACACTGTCAAACAGACACACACACACACACACTG